TTACTAATGTCACGTATTAAAATACCATGTGACAATGGATTTCTCAATTTCTCTGAAATCACAAGACTTTAGTGACCGTAAACATTCATAGCACAAATCACTTCAATCTCATATCAATCAATGCTTAACCTTGTTCATTAACGGGTAATGGGAATTCAGGATATCACAACCAATGACTCTGCGAATCCTACAAAAATAGAGAAAAAACCAGCAACATCGTTGTAGTGGGTCTTTCAGCCTCGACTCTTGATGAGTCCGTCGAGGAAAATTGCCGCTCGCGTCAATGGTTCAGTGAACAGCTACACTAGAAAGGACCATCGATCGTCAAGGGGTGCTAGTTAGCGAATGCAGCAACTCATCGAGGATACGTCTTGGCAGGAACAGCTCGGCTGGACTCGGATCATGTAGAGTTACGACTTGTCAAGGCAACAGGCATGGCCTGTTGGAAAAATATTATTAGATAACATGAAAAAATAAGATTAATTGTGGGAATTCTATTGAAAACATGAGAAAATAATATCAAAATGTCTGAGATGTGCAAGCACTGTCCTTAAGAATAATTCCGCCCCTCGAAGTACGAAACTCGGTGTGTAAGACTCTAGCGGCTATCCTCTCAAGATACAATAGACCTTCTTCTATACTCCACACTGAATATTAGAAGGAAGTATGAATAACGTTATGTGTATAACCCAGCAAATAAAGGAAAGATATAAAAGAAAGAACAACGAATATTCTTGTTTTGATATGTATACATATATATATATATATATATATATATATATATATATATCTATCTATCTATCACTTTTCAACTATGCTCAAAGTAACAATTTATAGGTACAAGAAAGAGAGCTGTTAAAAACCGTTGTCAAATAATGGAGGGTTTAAGAACAATTAAATCAAACGTTACAAAAGCCGTTCGAAAGCCGTTATACGGCCGTTGCAAAATCTTTACAAAATAATGGCTTTATGGCCATCATAAATTATAATAAATATTTCAAAACTGCTGATATATCCAACAATGGCCAGAGTATGATCTCATCGCAGTGGTCTTGGCCAAGGCAGGGCTTTGGAATTTTGCGAAACATACATTAGTAAAAGTAAATCAAAAATCGCAACGGAAGCGAAACCCCTACATGTATCTCCAAAGCATTGTTCGTGCATTTTAATAAGAAGCATGTAGAAACAAAAAGGAGGGCTAATCACATTATTCTTGTATCGTGCCCAAAGCATTTTGGTTATGATGTTCTTCAGTTTCAGACCACAAACGTCCGATCTCCCCATAGCGTCTCTAAAGTAATATGGTTTCTGACGCTCTTCAGTTCTAGCCCCACAAATGTCGGACCTTTAGTTCAGACACACCACCAATCACGCGTTGAATGATAGAGAAAACAAGTCTCAAGTCGAGACCGAGGGCTAAATGGGACATGGCTTGGTGATTAGCTGAAACCTCGCTAAAGAGAGGACACCTGTCGAGAGAGAGAAAGAGAGAGATTTTGTGTTCTTCCTAGAGAGCCTTTTTCTGAAATGTTTTTGATAAAAATGGCTGAATTATTAGAGAAAATTTGGAACTAGTGATTAGGAGGAATATTCTGGAGGGAAAAATCAAATTTGAGACTAATCCTAGCTCTACAACTCACTTATGATCCTATGGTTGAAGTTCTGTACTTAATGAGTAAGGAAAGAGGTGATTAGCCCTTATTATGTCACGTGGATGGGTAACAATCACGTGGATGGATGACATAGCATATCCTAAGGTTTAAATTAAAGGGAAAATGAATGGCTAAGATTGGCGCTCTTAAGGATTGATGACATGGAATTTAATTTTGGTAATTCAGAAAAAATGGTATTTTTGTAATTATAAAGAGAGGGGGTTGGCCAAGTGGTCTTATGGGATGAATGGGCTGACTTCTTTGGTTGACTTCGGTTGACTTAGGTCAACCTTGGTTAAACCAGGTTGACTTGGATGACCAGGTTGACCCGAGGCTTCCCAATTGTCTTACTTCTCTTCAAATCACCTCATGGGCTAGACTATCATTGTTTGTTTGGCCCATTGGGCCGAATTAGGTCAAGTCAATCAAGTTGACTTGATTTGACTCCGTTGGTCTCGATTCTTCGTTTTATGCTCACTTCTTCAAATTAGCCTAATTGTGCCCAATTGAAATTGATTTCATTTGGCCTAATGAGATTTTAAACGTGCTCTTTGACTATTGGAAAAGTCAACCATGGCCCTCAACTTGTGTTCGAACATTGGCCAACCCGTTTGAGCTCAAAATTTTGAAATTGGGCTTGAAATCTTGAATTGTCATGGTCCCTAGATCCAATGTCTAAAAAAGAAATCAAATCAATGGATTTTGGAATTTTTTAATCGAAAGTCAAAATTCTCGATTTGACCAAAATGTCAACCTTTGATTTTTTTTAAAACAATATTTAAATGTGAATGAAATGGGTTGCTCTGGCTCTCTATACACAAATGGAACTCCAATGATGCAGAATTGACTCTTTTTGGCCTAGAAACAAACTTTGTTGTGATCAAGAATCTCAAGTCTCAAGTTTTGACCTAATTGGACCTATAGGCAAAAATTCAGGTGTCAAGGGGCAAGAAACTCGTGGCACTATATTTTTTGAAATGGAGAAAGGTGAATGATCATGTTTTCTCTCTCTTACTAAATTGGGCATTCGTCGCTAGCTAATCTACCTCGTCGATGTTGCTGTTATTTACACTTCTTGTCATAGTTGAACTTATGGCTCTGGAATGCTGCAGTGAGCTCCTTTGAACTAATGATTTAGATTGTAAAATAACCATTAATTGATTGATGAAGGTTATCTCCATTTGTACATTTTTGTGGTTTCTTTAACAGCGAATCATAAGAGACCATCTGCATTTATGTATTTTCAAGTTCATTTATATTGATATGTCATTCATACTAAACAGTGGACGTTATACAATATGAAAAATCCGGCTTTATTATTGCAATTTACTGAACAATGGAAAGCATATAACAAAATCCTTGGATTTCATATCATATTATATTCAGTTATATCCTGACCAAAAATCCATCAGAGTTAGGATTAATTGTACCGTCTGCTAATAATATTATACTATTCTAATTTCTCATCATAAATTTAAATGAAAATCATTAATGGCACATTAATGAATTGATTTGAAAAAAAAAAGAAAGAATTTAAAGTACACTACTATGCTCAAAAGAGTAATTGAAAATCAATATCAATTTTCATTGATTAGATTTACAAAGTAATAAAATAAAGTGGATAAAAGGAAAAACCTATGCTATATAAACCATATGTTTTTTTGGGAATAAAACGAAAGAGAATATATCTTCTAACAAATGACGAACGAAAAAAAAATTGGAGTCATAGAGTTAGGAGTTGGACCATCAACCTGGCACTTAGAAGTTTGTAAGACAAACACTAGGCTACTAATGCGTCATCGATCATTATAAGTAGAGGTGGCAATACAGGTCAGAAACTCATTTATTAACTCATTTTTAGTGGGCTCATGTTGAATATGGATTATTTGAAATTTTGAAAATAGTTCAAAATGGGTTTGCAACATTAAAGCCCAAGTTTATATGGGTCATATATGGATTGAATATGGGTTTATTGTAAACCCAATGACAAACCCATATTCAACCCATATTTGACCCATTTAAGTTATTAACTTGTAACCTTGTAGGCTAAATAGTTTAAGTGTCATTTAAAAAACATCATTTATTATTTTTTTTAAAAAATCGAATTTTAAATTTTTTTCATTTTTTTTTCTTTTTCTTTTTTTTCTTTTTCATTTTTATTCCTTTTTTTTTTTTTCTATTTCCTTCTTCTCCGGCCGGTCGCCGGCCACGGCGATGGCCGGTGATCGACCGTAGGCGAGCTTCGAGCTCGGTCAGATCGGCGAGCTTCGAGCTCGCCAGAGGTCGGCGAGCTCGAGGCTCGTCCGACAAGCTTGAAGCTCACCGATCTGGACGAGCTTGAACTTGCCAGATTCCGGTGAGCTCGAGGCTCGTTCAGATCAGCAAGCTGGAGCTCGTTCGACGAGCTCGAGCTCACCAACCTCTGGCGAGCTCGCCTGCGGCCGGTAGAAGAAGAAGGAAAAATAAAAATAAAAAAAATAAAAAAAGAACAAAAAAGAAAAAAGAATAAAATTTTCATTTTAAAAAAATATAAAAAGAAAAAGAAAATAAAGATATATAAAAATATTTAATTTTTTTAAAAATTATAAAAATTGTTCACTTATTTTATATTGCATTGAAGCATTTTAGCAATATAAATATTATAAGAAACAAGTTTTTTAAAATTGGATTTTAAAGTGTTTTAGAATACGGGTCGGGTTGGGTATGGGTTCGGTATGGGTCAGGTCGGGTATGGGTAATTAGATTTACACTACATGAATATCAAAACGGGTTAAATGGGTCAATATGGGTCGGATCATTTTCGACCCAACCCAAACTCGACTTGACCCACCCGTTTGCAATGTTTACACAAGCGCGCGCACACGTATAGATAATGGGCTGGACAGCCAATGATCCTCGACATGCGACGTTCTATGAAAAACGTTTGGGAACTTTTCTCATGATATACCATTTTGATGTTTTTAAAGATATTAGACTTTTTTAAGAGAATATAAATTTGAATTTTCAATACACGAGGAAGCTTAGATTGCAAAAATTTTGGCGACGATCTTCAAGACATTATGCATGATACGAAATTCATACGTCGGAGATCTGGAGAGGTCCAAAGCCCCGGCAATTTTTTAAGTGAAATGTGAGATGACAACGCCAGGAACTGTCGTTGAGTTTTTTCAAGCACAGCAAATTATTGTCACTCCTAATGTCAAGGCCCTTTTTTCTCCACGTTAGGGGCTGATAAGATAGCTGTGGTTAAAACCACCCAAATTTAGCATGAATGTCCATATCCATTGAATTCCTTATTTCCTTTCTAATGCCATCAAATTTTATTTTGGTTCCATATACACAAATTATCGGGAAGCATTTCCAGGGTTCTTGACCCTTCGAGGCCCTCAAAATTGCTTCGCATGTCGTTACGGTCTGTTCGCATTCTTCAAATCGAATGAAAAACAAAGCGACCCGGAGCTTCATGTTTCGCTCAGGTAAAGATTTTGTGTTGCGTTTATTCGTTTCCTTTGTCGTCCCGTTCCTTTAAATTAAGAAGGTTCAAGGATTTTCTCTATGCAAAACAGTACCTTCAAATTTTGTAACTTGATGCTTGTGTTGTGATAGCTTTTTCTCCTAGTTATGAATAGAGATTTATCATTAAGTTTCCTGATTAATTCCTAATAGGCAACATTCTGAATGTATTTTGGAAAGGTAGCATTGCAATGTTAAATTCAGGTCATGGCAATTCTTTATTGCTGGGCATATTCCTTCAAAACATAAAGAATGTGAATGAAACGTTGAATTTTGAACCCTTCAAAACCAGCTTAGATAACCTGAAAAAAGTATCTACAATGTCAAAAATCTCATCCATGAGAACCATGATGTATCTACTAGAAAGATGTGATCTCTGTACCATGGCAGTACTGCTTGTTGTGCCGCTTGCTTCATTTCTTTGAAGGCCGTGTTGACTAGCGTATTAGTTGTGCGATTTTGAGTCATACATGTGGAAGTCACCCACCAAGTAGATTTGATGAGCCTCCTTCCGTGGATTCGAGGCCAGTAAATCTATTTCCAAGTGCCATAACTTTTTAGAGGAGTTTTGTGTCATGCCAAGTTAAAATCTTTGCCCTAACCTTAACAGAAGAAATCAGTCTTTTTCAGAAGTAATTTGGCTTAACACACTCTGAGAACTGAGAGAACAAGCGGAATACAGCAATGGGACTCATTATCTTGTGACTGCAGCCAACTGGTCTTAACAAACAACAGTCGAGCATGTAACCGAGTAATGGAGACAAGTTTTGGTATGTTTTTATACAAACCAAACAAAGTGTATGCCACAACATTTCATTGATCCTGTAAGCAAATTCCATGCGTTGCTGACAGACCACAAGCTTCTTCCTTCCGAATAGGTCCATTGCAAAAGCTAAGGTTAGGAGGAATAAGACCCCATGCATCAATTGCCACCAAGTCACAAGAACACGCTACAGACCACTTGCAATTTGAACCCTCGATATCAGATTCCACTTTGACAGATTTGTACGCAAGATGCACCGGAAGCAATAGTGGTACTCAATTTGCATATATATTTTAGGATATAGTTAAAGCTCCATAAAATCGCAAGTTTTAGAAATACTGGAAAGAGAACATCCCAGAGGACATAAAGGAAAGTACATCAAGTTTAGACTCTCTGATTGATTCACATATCTCTACTTACCCTTTGCAGGAATTTTACCATTTGTTTGGAGATCATATCAGACAAATGGGGCTGAAGTTTTCGAAGCAGAGCCATGGGAGGGCCGACAACATGAACTTAGCTCATGCCCACCAGCAAGTGATCCACTGTCTTATCACAAACTTCTTCGTACGTAACTTGGTGTCCAAAAAAAGAAGGCGACTACTTGTTGGAGGCTATGATCTTGACATGTCATACATTACCGATCGCGTATTGGCAATGTCGTTCCCTGCAGAACGTATGCGGGCCGTGTACCGAAATCCTCTCTGGCAAGTCAAGTCAGTGCTGGACATGAGACACCAGGGACACTACAAGGTATATTTGGTAGGCATAAGTTTTCATCTTTTTTTTTTAAATTATTGAAACAAAGTCGAGACCAATCACAATATATCTTTGATCATATGTATTCACTTCCTTGATAGTCAGTAAGATATGTTGCACTTCCTTTGACAACTAAACTTTGCATCTGTACATTCTATGGCAAGATTATATTACAGTAGGTTTAACTGCATGTGTGTCGATAGTGTATTTAACACTTCGGTACCCATTTTATAGTTATGTGCTGAAAACAAGACAGGAATTTCTGAAGCCTCTATCTAAAATGATGTTCAATGTCCATGCAGATCTATAACCTTTGCATTGAAGAAACTTACGATCCGTTGCATTTTTACGGTCGTGTGGAGACATATCCATTCGATGACAACCATGTTCCCCCACTTCAAATGGTCAAACAGTTCTGCGAGAGTGTGCATACATGGCTATCTCGTGACCCAAAAAATGTTGCGGTGGTGCATTGCATGGTACTGTTGACTGTCATAAGCCGTCATGCAAAACCTATGCCGACTATTTTTGGAAAACTCCCTAGGTGTTCTATGTAAAATTTTATTAGTTTGGTGGCCAGAGAATTGAATGACAAATTTTCAAGATCCTTTACTCTAAATCATTATCTCTCTTATAAACACTGCAGTTGCGTGAATTATGCCATTCGCATAATCAATATAATGTACAAGTCAGAAAATAAGGTATTCAAAGGTTTAGGAAATCTCTTCATGTAATTCTTTCTTCCGTTTTTTCTGTGTTCATCTGGTCACTTCCGTTCTAACAAATTTCTGCCCCTGCATTGCAACAATTATGTTTCTCGAATATCTGCATGCACTCTTTTTCCAAGATGCAATTGTGCTGACTAGACAAAATTAGTGTATGCCCCATGGACAACAACTGGCCAGACAAACCAGTCTTTCATTTTGTTTTTACCATACTCGACACTCGTATATAAGACAAGTACAATGCTTTTATCTTATTTCTCTTTACAAATCTGATTAAAAACGTCGTGATTTGATGCGACTGAGAGTTGCTGTCTCTTGGTTGCATTTTGCAGGCAGGTAAGGGTCGGACAGGGTTAATGGTGTGCACCTACCTTGTTTATATTGGGCTGTCTGCTGAGGAAGCTCTTCAGTTGTACGCGCAAAAACGAACAACCAACAATGAAGGAGTAAGTCCACATTTTTGTAAGAAAACTCGCGTTGTCTTTGCTAGATCTGATGAAGTTGCTCACTCCAGAACGACACAAGGAAGTTCCATCTTTGCACAAAAAAAGAGTTGCAAAACGTACAAGAAAATGCAACAGGAAAGGATTTGGTGTTCTTGTCCCATGAGAGCGTTCAGTTGACATAATGGTATCTTAAGATTATGAAATATTGATCCATGAAAACAATGAGGGAATATTGCAAGTGAAATGGTCACTGCTTTTATTCTTCGTTTCCTATCATTGTTGGGTTGCTTGTATAAAATACAAAGAATTCCGCATCATTAGTACATAAATGGCACGGAACTCCCAGACTGAACAATTACTTGGCCTTCAGAATAGTATCCATCTGCAGATGAAACAGTAAAAGCTTAACGTTACATTTCGTAAACAGGTATCAATACCTAGCCAGCGTAGATATGTTGGTTACTGGAAAAACACACTCTTGTTTCCCAAAGGAGCCGGTGCGGGACCTCCAGGCGTGAACTTGCCTCATCCATGTAATAGGGAATTGCGGCGAATCAGACTCTATGACACTGTCAACACTGAATCGATTTTCTTTGTAATTTCGGAGCTACAAGAGGTAAGCCCCTCTCAATTGCAAGCCTCGGTGGAAGCAAACGTCCAAGATGTAGGTATGGCTTAATTTACAACACCTACAGGAGCATCGTAAATGTCTGCTCATTCTTACTGAGTTACCGACATAGGGGCATCACTAGAGAGTTAAATTAGTTGCCTACAATATAATTGTTCCTGTTGATAACTGCATGACCTTGTTCATATTCTTCAAAAATGGACCTCAAGATGGATGGTTTCATTATTAAGATGAACCAGTTTGGCGTCATGGGCTTCATCTACTTCAAACTGTTCTCCATTTCTTCGTTTCAGCATACAATTTCTTTTATTTCCTATTTGATGTTAGTGCATCTCTAGCTAAGTATGTCAAGCTTGATCTGGCTGGAATAAAGGAAAGCCCGGTGTCCAGCTTTGTTGTCGCTGACAGAAAGTCCACCTTCTTTTCCAGATACCTAATCAGCTATACCGACCATCTATGGAAGTTACCAAGGGTTGCTGCCGGCCGATAAAGAAAGGATTTCAAAGAAACAATAGTCCTCGGTATTATCTTTCCTTCAATAGAGGCGAGATCGTAGGGGAATCAGAGTCTGAGGAGCCTCATGTCGTAGTCCAAATGGACACCGAAAGCCCCATACTCTATCAAAAGACCTGTCTTGACTATTATTTCGATAAGCCCTTACATGTAAGTTATTTACTGCGAACCGACCCATCATTTTACTTGCTCTATTGATTTTGATGGTTTACTTAATCTCGTTGATTGCATTTTGTTTTCCTTAAAGTTTGTTAACCATTCTCATATCAATCACTAAAGTCTTGAAATGAATCTCACTTGACTGGACAGGTCACTGGCGATGTTAGGGTCATATTCTACCAGAAAATGAAAGGAGGGCGTCTCTTCTATGCCTGCTTCAATACTGCTTTCATCAGGAATAGCTTGCTCCAGGTACTTTGTCATTTTACCCCAGGTTCTGCCTTCCTTTAATGAGAATCCGTCATGAGAAATATGAGTCAAATGTGCAGATTTTTTCTCAACTTGGATAGCATCAACCCTGTTATGTCTCATGATGACATTGTTTGGGTTGTTTTAAGGTGCTGAATGGATTCACTAGTTTTGCGACATTGTCATTGCAGTTCTCTTTGCGAGATTTGGACAAAGTTGCAAGCAAAGGCAGATCGATATGTGGCAATGCGTTTTGCCTGGAGTTGCTATTTGGTCCTGCAAATACCAAGTGCTCGTTGCTGCCTCCAAGTGACGATGATTTGAGTGACGATTCCTTTTGATTTCACAAAGACAACTCCACTGGTAGTTATTGCCGCAGTTACTCCATTCGAAACATGTTGATCCTCGACAAGCTTTCTCAAGATAGTGGCCATTTCTGATTAGAGCCTGGGTAGTGCTTCAGAAGGGTTCGACCGGATTAATTGGCAGGAAGAAGTTTTGTATAGTAGATTGTCGAAACATCTCAGCAGAAGATGAGGATTCTCTTTCTTATATACTGTTGAGTTGGTTGAAGGAGAAAAGACTAGCTAAACTGTGTTATTGATTGAATCGCTACTTACAAATTTATAAGCTGTAGAAGCTTATCTCTAGGAACAGAAAAACAATAAGATCCCAAAATACAAGGAATAAAAAATAAATAAGATATTTATCCTTAATGATAAGAAGAATTTTAAAAACAAATCCTAACTGAAATAGGTAAAAAACTAAATCCTAAAAATCTGCTAAGGATCCGCAACACTCCCCCTCAAGCTGAGTTGTACAGATTGTACATACCCAGCTTGTCTAGTAGACTTTCAAACATTTTTCTGGATAGGCCCTTAGTCAAAATGTCAGCTGTTTGATTCCCGGTAGGGACGTATGTTAAACTGATAATTCCATCTTCTATCTTTTCTTTGATGAAGTGTCTATCTACCTCTACATGTTTAGTGCGATCATGATGAACTGGATTATGAGCAATACTAATAGCAGCCTTGTTATCACAATACATCCTCATAGGTAGCTCCCCTTGAACTTGTAACTCTTTCATAAGACGACTCAGCCAAATAAGTTCACAAACTCCGTGTGCCAAAGCTCGAAATTCTGCCTCTGCACTGCTTCTAGCCACAACACTCTGCTTCTTACTCCTCCAGGTTACAAGATTGCCCCAAATAAAAGTACAATAACCGAAGTTGATCTCCTATCTTCCACTCGATCCCGCCCAATCGGCATCCGTATATCCTTCAATTAATCTATTCTCATTTTTTCCGAAAAACAGCCCCTTTCCGTGTGTACCCTTCAAGTATTTCAAAATTCTAAAGACAGCTTCCATATCTTCTTCAGTAGGATCATGCTTATACCGACTTACCACACTTACAAAGAAATGCTATATCAGTGCGGTATGTGAAAGATAAATGAGTTTACCTACCAAACGTTGATACCTTCCTTTATCTACAGGTGTCCCATCGACTTTCTGCCCGGTTTTGCTTAATGGTTCCATTGGAGTATCAACAGGTTTAGAGCCAAGCATCCCTGTTTCTTTCAATAAATCCAATACATACTTTCTTTGGGTAACGGAAATACCTTCTCTATTTCTTGTAAATTCCATTCCAAGAAAATATCTTAAGGATCCCAAGTCCTTAATTTCGAATTCAGCAGCTAACTTCCCCTTCAACCTTGACATTTCCTCTTCGTCATTACCTGTTAAGATAATGTCGTCAACATAAACAATAAGGATAGTACTCTTACCTTCCTTATGTCTATAAAAAGAGTGTAATCCGTCTGTGCTTGACAATATCGTTGTTGTAAGACGGCTTTAGTGAATCTCCCAAACCAGGTTCTAGGAGATTGTTTCAGCCCATAAAGAGCTTTGTTCAATCTGCAAACCTTTCCATACTTCTTCGCATCATCAAATCCTGGCGGAAGATCCATATAAACTTCTTCTTCCAAATCACCGTTTAGGAATGCATTCTTGACATTGAGTTGTTGTAGTTTCCAATCAAGGTTTGCTGCAAGAGAGAGAATTACTTGTATAGTATTTAGATTCGCTACAGGTGCAAACGTCTCCCCGTAATCAATCATGTATGTTTGGGTGAAACCCTTGGCGACTAATCTTGCTTTGTACCTTTCCACTGAGCCATCATATTTGTATTTAACTGTAAAAACCCATTTGCAACCTACTGGAGTCTTCCCCTTGGGTTTTTCAACAATATCCCAGGTGTTATTCTTCTCAAGGGCACTCATCTCCTCAAATACAGCTTTCTTCCATTGTGGTTCTTTTAAGGCATTATGAATATCCTTAGGAAGATTTTCGCCTGAAACCCTTGTAACAAAGGCTCTAAAAGAATGAGATAGATGTCCATAGGAAACATAATTAGAAATAGGATGTTGTGTACATGATCTTACACCCTTTCTAACAGCAATGGGAATGTCGAGCTCACTAACCTTATTAGACCGATCCGGGTCCAAGAATTGACTGCTTTCGGGTTGCACAATGGTCTCCTTATTTTGTTTCAAATTTCTACGTGAATAAACACGTAATTCAGTGTGTAATTGTGGGCTATTGGGTACAGTTTCAGGACTGTTGGGTACGGTCTCAGAGATAGAAGGAGACACAGTTTCTATTTCAGTATTGGTTTCAGTAGATGATGGTATAGTGGATAGAGTGATAGGTTGAGATAGTGATCCCCTGTATCAATGATCCATGGGCTGGAAACAACAGATGTATTAAACCCCCCAAAGAAGATACCTGAAGTGGCTAGATTTGAAGCAAAATGGGAAGACGAATTCGCAACTGTGGAGGAAGCAGCAGTAGTAGAAGCTTTCAGTAGACGTCGAAATGCCTGAAGTTCTTCCTGGGATAAATCGATATCAGTAGTAGGTGTAGCAGTAACAGTTTCAGTATGGTTTGCTTTGTTTTTTGTCTTTCTCTATGCTTTTTTTTCCTCAAAATCTGTAGGTTTTCCATTTAACTTCTAGCAGGTACCCTTAGTATGATAAGGCCTATGACAATATTCACACTTCACAACTTCCTTAGGGGTATCATTAAATCGAGAGAACGAACCAGATTTAGTAATAGTGCCAGCACTAATTTGCAGAGCAGATCGATCAATAGTAGAGAACTGGAGCATTGCTGTCCTACGGCTTTCTTCTGAGTGAACTAAGGCATAGGACTGTTCCAGAGTGGGGAATGGAGACCGGCTAAGGACTTGAACACGTATCTGATCTTATTCAACATTCAACTCTGCCAAGAAATCATAAACTCTGATCTTGTCCACATGGTTCTTGATGGTATAGTGGATAGAGTGATAGGTTGAGATAGTGATTCGGGCATTGTAGGCAATGTAGGGACGGTAGGGACAGATTCAGTGAGCGTAAAGGATTTAGTGATTGTGTCCCAACAATTGTCTTCCTCTATATTTACTGGTTTCTCCCCCTGAAGAGAATTCTTGAAAAAAGGTTGCTGTTCAAAAAAGGTAATATCCATAGAGATAATATATTTTTTATGTTGGGGAATAAAACACTTGTAACCTTTTTTTGTGGAGGAGTAACCGAGAAATATGCATGGAATGGCTCGAGGTTCAAGCTTTGAACGAGAAGGATCAGTGATATGAATGAAACACTTGCAGCCGAAAACTTTCAGTGGTAAGGAGGAGACAATTTGGTGATCTGGGAAAGTTTTGCAAAGAATGTTGATTGGTGTCTCATACTTGTGAACTCGTGAGGGTAACCGGTTAATTAGGTAACAAGCTGTAAGGATAGAATCCCTCCAAAGATATGTAGGTACATTAGTTGTAAACATGAGGGAACGGGCTACCTCTAACAAGTGTCTGTTTTTGCGTTCAGCAACACCATTCTGTTTTGGGGTACGGACACAAGAACTTTGGTGAATGATGCCGTTGGATTCCAAGTATTTTCCAAGAGTGGAGTTGAAGTATTATGTACCATTATCAGTACGAAAGATTTTGATATTAGTACCGAACTGAGTTTTAACCATGGTATGGAATATTTGAAAGATATGAGAAACTTCACTCGTCTTTTAATAGATATATCCAAGTAAGACGGGTATGATCATCTAAAAAAGTAATGAACCACCTTTTTCCCGTATTAGTTGTAACACGTGAAGGTCCCCATAAGTCACTGTGTATCAAAGAAAATGGTGAGGATGGGATATGTTCATGAGATGAGTAGGAAGAGCGCTTATGTTTAGCTAATTGGCATATATCACATTGAAAAACATCACTTGAAAGGAATAATGATAGAAATAATTGTTTCATATATCCAAAGCTTGGATGTCCAAGTCTGAAATGTAATAACATGAGATGTTTTTCACGAGTCATTGGAAAAGATTCACAACTAACATCGAAAACATTTTTATTAATGCAGAAATCTGAAACAAAATAATAAAGTCCACCGTGTTCCTTAGCACTGCCAATCCTCTTCCCCGAACTCAAGTCCTGAAATTCACAAATAGATGGTGAGAACCGAACCATACAATTCAAATCCCTTGAGAGCTTACTAATGGAAAGGAGATTGCAAGTCAACTTAGGGACATGGAGAACATTTACTAAGCAAATTGTCGGGCTCAAATGGACAGTACCTGACCCTGCAATAGAGGCAAGGGAACTATCTACAATTTTCACTTTAATGTTACCCAGACTTGGTTGATATGTAGAAAAAATATTTTCTGATCTAGTCATATGATCAGTAGCTCCGGAATCTATTATCCATGGATCACAACCAGTAGATCCCCTAGAGAGAGCAGTTAAAAAAGTACCTTTGTGAACAAGCAGAGAAGTGCTTGCAGCAAGAGGATTTTGTGGAGTTGTCGGGGGGTGAGCAATTTATATAATTGCTCTATCTGCTGCTTATTGAGGGGAAGCTGGATCGGATGATCTTCATGCTTCGGTGACACATCCGTAGAAGCCGAGTATCCTCTAGTGTTATGAGGTCTATTATTTTTCCAATCTCCAGGCTTGCCATGGAGTTTCCAGCATTTGTCCCCGGTATGATTAGTTCTTTGGCAATAATCACACCAGAGATTTCCTTGGCGTTTGTTCTCCTCTTTGATCAGCCTTGTTGTGATCATTACGATGAGAAACAAGGGCTGATGATTCTGGGGCTGTTATATCAGATTTGTTGCTGCCTAACATCACTCGCTTCCTTGATTCTTCACGCCTGACTTTAGAAAAAATCTCCTCTATACATGGTAATGGTTTGATTCCAAGAAGACGACCTCGAACCTCATCAAGATCTCTATTTAGACCTACCAAGAAATCGTATGCCCTCTCCTTTGCCATTCGGTCCTGATATTTCTTGGTACATGTAGCACAGGCCATAGAACAGTCATCATGAAGATCTAATTCCTGCCAGATCTTTACCAGTGAGGTGTAGTATTCTATCACATCGGCTTCTCCCTGCAGTAGATTCCTTGCTGCATTCTGAAGTTCAAATACTTGAGATGAATTATCAAGGTCGGAATATGCCAAATTTAGATAGTTCCAGAGTTCGGCCGCTGAGGAGTAGTAGAGATAGCTACTTTGGATTTTTTCCGTCATGGAATTGATTAGCCATGACATAACAATGTTGTTGTTGGCATCCCATGTCTCGAAAGCAAGATCCTTTGAGTCTAGTTTTGATAGAGTACCTAAGAGATATCCGAGCTTACCCCTTCCTTTAACGACCATTAGGACTGACCGAGTCCAAGAGAGGAAGTTTTTTCCATTTAATTTGAGTGAGGTAATTTGAGGAGAGGAGAGGGATTGATCAAGGAAAGAAGGAGTAGGAGCAATTGTAGAGGAGGACGAGATGATCGTAGAACCATCCGAGTCTGCTCCTCTGCTTGCCCCTGTCATGGCAGTCTTTACCATGGTTTTTTTCTCAACTTTACAGATCAGAACAACCATGCTTTGATACCATGTTGAGTTGGTTGAAGGAGAAAAGACTAGCTAAACTGTGTTATTGATTGAATCGCTACTTACAAATTTATAAGCTGTAGAAGCTTATCTCTAGGAACAGAAAAACAATAAGATCCCAAAATACAAGGAATAAAAAATAAATAAGATATTTATCCCTAATGATAAGAAGAATTTTAAAAACAAATCCTAACTGAAATAGGTAAAAAACTAAATCCTAAAAATCTGCTAAGGATCCGCAACATATACCTTTAGGTTCCTTT